GTAACAAAAATACTGAAATCAGAATCTCCCGTTATTTCCTGAAATGGCATGTTACTTTGTTACCCAACACTACTGGGATAATTGATAGATGGTAAACTTGCTGTACTTGCCACCATACATTATAAAGTACCAGCTTCCAATTATTTCTTCAGAGGTAGGTACTGTACTGTATACCTGTGGTACAATYATAGGCCTACTAGTAGCTACTACTAGTACTACTAGTAAACTAATAAGTCTACATCATCATGTATGATTTTGTMATTCATAGAAAAAGATACTTTTTAGTACTACTGACAGTGGTGGTTGTACCTTYGGTCATAGATTAARWAATTAAGGAGAGGTGTGTGACACAAATGTGCAGCAGTAGTTTTTGCAAAACTCTTAGTATTCCRTCCTTTGATAGAATAAGAAATATGTCATCCTGTTTTTTAAATGTCCTTTTTGGTGCACAAATTCTACTACTATAGTAGTATTTAGTTGCGATACTACTACTAGTAGTAAAACAATCAAACTTTGTACTAAGTACTAGTACTACTAGTACTAGTACTAGTACTAGTACTAGTTGTGGTACTAGTCGTAGTCATGACAACTTCTTGGTCAAAATCAGTATTAGTAAATTGATGTCTAACCCTTGTAAACAGATCAGATTTTCATCAGGATTATGAACATGATATGTTGCTGCAACAGTTAGAAACTTCTTTTCCTTGATGCTTTTTTTTGTTTGGTGCACAAACCCTTACTACTAGTAGTACAACTTTTTGCTTTCAACCTTTCACCAAAGGTAGTAAATGGGTACACCACCAAAAATCCATAGTATCATGAGAAGGAAGTACAAGGCTAGGCACCTATGGGAACCAGTGTAATGATAATGGATATCTTTATTGCTTCTTGTTTGCTCCAACACACCAGGAAAACAAGATTTCAACCAAGGAGGAGGCTCCCAATGCCAGGAAAGTCAACTAGCATGAGAACAGTGCAGTATGGAGGCTCCCAATGCCAGGAAAGTCAACTAGCATGAGAACAGTGGAGGATAGTATGGATACTGTCTTCCTGGTGGGACAAACAGAGAGTCCAATGATATAGTCATTTAATTGACACTTCCATTATTTGGGAACTGAAGCACTACTACTACTACTACTACTACTAGTGTGGAGGAATATACCATTCCAAAACTTTGTGACAAGGAGATCCCTATCAAGGCAGCAGATAGCAATAGTACTGAGAAACTTGCAAGGAACAAACTTGAGGACATTGTTGCTTGTCCGCTTAATGATACAAACATTACTACTAGTAGTAGCAGTACCGCTATGTTACAATAAACAACAGCATTCAGGACAAGCACAGTTAGTAATACTTGCACCATGTTTGTCCGCATAATTCTTTCCTCCTCAGCACTGTCACTTATGCTAAGCCAAAGTGGAAAATTAARGAACTRTYATCAAGAACWACTGAAAAATTCTCAGGATTGTCTRTAGCATTTTCAATGCAKGAAGGCCAAAAGATGCTATAACTTGAGAGGAGGTGGGAACTKTTATCAAAGGAATGAAGAAAGTCTTGCTTCTAGTTTGGTAGAAGAACTCCAGGCAGAATTTGTTGACAACATGGATGATGTTAATATATGATCCAGGTCAGATTCAGCAGTTTACAGCGGCAGACAGATGCATACAAGAATGAACACCAAATACCAATTAATATTGTTACTAACACAAGAACAATTCACAAATTACAGTGAAGATCTTTAGAAAATGTTTTGGTTTCAACATGGTGGTCTTACAGGAGAAGAAGCAAGAATCACTGGTGGGCTGGATTCTTTATGCCA